ATTACTGGATCAGCTGCTTCTGCCATACTTTCAATAGCTGATTCATCAACTCCTCTTTTCATTCTAAAAATAATATTATTTAAAATATTTACCTAAAATTTCCATTTTCTCCCCATTAACTACCCCAACTATTTTATAATAACCAAAATTTAACTCCATTCTCTTCTCCCCAACCATAACATAATACTGAATGATCTACTTTTTCCTATTTATTATTAATATAATTTTATATACCCATTCTGGACGATCTTAAGTAGACCAATCATGTTCAGCAACTGAATGATATATACCACTCTCATAATACATAAAATCATATGATGGTTCAAAATTCATAATTACTGGACCATTTGTAAATAATTCCATCATTATATCTCTTTCATTACTTAATCCATATCCTCCTCCTATATATCTATAATTCTTTGCCCCATAAACTTTTTATTATTATGAAAAATCTATCTTTTTACAAGTTCCTACATCTCCTTTATATGGATATTATTCTTCTGTTACTAAATATTATTCAGATGCAAATTTCTCTACCAAAAATGGATAACCTCCATCACATCCCTAATTAAAATAATTACAATCCACTGAATATTATGGAGACAATGTTACCTATTCACCTTTCATTTTTAATCTTGCTGATAACATTTCCATTGTTGATATAGCATAACATGATCCACATTACTTTTATTATCTAGGAGCATCTAAATATTATTCTAAACTAAATGACTTTGGTAAACCAGAAACATCACCACCACTCTTTAATTATGTAAATGAACTCTTCTTTATTGTTTTACCTTAAAAATGCTTTCTTCTACCTGCCATCTTATTCAATTCCAACATTGATTTACCTTCAAAATTATCATAAGCCTTAGCCTTCCACGTTTTTGGTATACTATTTAATTTATCTACTGCTTCTTTATGATTGTCAAAATTTTTATGTAATTTTACTCTATCTCCATGTCTTGTGCTTTTTTGAATAAATTCTGGTTATACTACACTAATTAATTAATAAGAATCTGTTGCTTCTACATCTCCATCTGTTTTCTTTGCCTTATAACAACCCTTTTCTCCAGTCTTTAAATTATTATACCAACCAATTAAAGTCTCACCACAATAAGATTTATAATCGGATCCATTTGGAGCATATTTTGAAAATGCAAAATATTTGATTCCATTATGTTCTACCTCAAATCCTTCATCATAAACCATTGTCCATGATCCACTTGTTTTTCTATCTTTATCTTGAACACTGTAGTCATTGCTCAAATTAACTTCAAATGTTTCCACTGCTTTAAATTCATCCAATCCTGCTTTATAAGAGGATTCTTATGAATCTGGAACATGATGTCCACATGGAACAGCACCCATTCCTTTTAATCTAGCCTAACCCACTTCCATCTTCCACTTTCCAGTTATCTGATGCTTTAAACAATGAACAGGAAGATCTGCTTATACTAGACTTATTGTTAGTATACAAATCAGAATAAGTTATTTCATTAAATTATATAAAAACGATTAATTTTTTTCTTTTTCTACTTAATATATAATTCTTAATATTTAAACATCTTTTGCATTTATAGAACTCAATCTTAAATTCTAAGTTTAAAATTTTTTTAACATATATGAGAAAGCAAAAATTATTAACCTTATAGCCATATGCAAATATATTCAGGAAATATCATTTATAATAAAATCGGAATTATAAATAACATTTCATTAAAATATTGATCTAAGTCCATTATCAATAATTAAATCAGATTCCATAATTGCCATCAATTGATTATTATTCTTATGAACGAGAATCAATTCAAAAGACAAATCAATTTTCAAAGTATCAAATAAATGATTGAGCAAATAAATCTTTAAGAATCTACATTCTATTTAAGCTGAATTGAGCAATTTAGAAGGTTTTTTTTTCAATTTAGATTATAGTTCTCAATATGAGATATCTAATTGGTCACTTGACATCACAAAGTTTTTAATGGATTATAAGTAAATAAATTTTAATGCCAAAATTGAATTAGAAAATTATTCTTAATTTATAAGAGTGGCTTTTTAGTCAATTAGAATTAAATCAAAAGAAAAATAAATTGCTGTGTTAAATTATCTTTCCATCATATAATATATAAGTTTGTAATTTAAATTGGAAATTTCATTATAAAATCGAATTATCAAATTAATAAATAGAATGAAATAGTAAATGTCCTCATTAAATTTCTCACATATTTTACAAAATTAATATTGATGATTTTATAATTTAAGCAATTTCTTCAAAATATCGATAGTATTTCATTGCAATTTAAAATCCAGTTATTGATGAAGTAAAAAAGTGATTAATATGGATGATACATAATTAAAATAATTTTGGAATTGGCGAACCTTTCTGAAATTATTGATAAAAATATCACTTTACTTAGTTGGGTTAGTTAAATAGAATTAATAAAAAATTAAAAATCATAATATTGAAGCTATATTGATAAATTTCAATTTAAATAATAAAATATGGAAAAAATGATCAAAAAAAATTCATAAAGCTATTGCATCTTTGAAAAAATGAACTCTTAATTGATTATTTATATGACATTAAAATAAAATTGAGATGATATTTATTTTAACAAGCGAATTTAATGATATATGATTATATATGTTAAATTTAAATTTATTCAAGGGACTCCTAATAATTTTTATATGCTTAGCTTAAAGTAAATTTTTTATGTATATGCTGTAAATTACGTTTTTTATACATATAATAAAAAGTCATTATTTGATGCCATTTTAAAAAGTCATTCTTGATACATTTAGAATAATTTATTATTATCGAGGCTCTTTTTTGTTTTTAATGAAATACCTTACATCATTTACTTTATCTTTATATAGATATTTAAAATTATTTAACGATTGTGATTAATCGAAAAAAGGGTGATCACAAAAAATAATAATAACAGATGATAATTATTTTTATTTGAAATTCTGATCTTATAGTTATATTAATATTGATAGACAGAAGTGTGCAATTTCATAAGCATAAACATAAAAACAAAAATCATTATTTTAAAATATGAGCAACTCTTTTTCTACAATTAGTTTATTTTGGTTATGAAATAGCTATACTAGAGTTTCTCAAAAGTGATTTTAAAACGTTCAAATTATGTTATCTATCAATAACATCCTATGTAGATTAAGGAGTTTGAGTAATTCCAGAGAACTGAGTTATAATAAATTTGATTTACATTTATAGTTTATTGAGATAAGGGAAGCTTATTTTTTTGAATCGAACAGCCCATAATTCAAGGTTAAATAAGAAAATATAAGTTTTTGATAAATAAATATTAAATATCCTATTTTGAGTAAAATAAAGATTAAAAAGACGCTAATATTTGAAAGAGATTATGCTTTAATATATAAAACTAAATAAAATATATACTTAGACTTAGATTTAATTTAAGCAGTATGTGTTAATAAGAAAAACTCATGAATCACTTTTTATAAGGGGGGGGGGAAATAAAGAATTTAATAAAAAAAGGGTTGTCAACACGAGGACTTCCCAAGCGGTCCCCCACCTTAGTACTAACCTCGCCTTAAGCCGCTTAACTTCGGAGTTCGAATGGGATCCGGTGCTTTAGGCTTAGTATGGCCGACAACGATATTAGAAAGAGTTTTTAGTTTATAAAGACCTTGTTTAGCATAATTTTATAAAAGAAATAATTTGAGGTAGGGCTAAAAATTTTTGTAATAGTAATATGAAAAAGGGGGAGAAGAATTCAGAATGATAATTCATTACAAAAATATTAATAAAATTATATAAAATGAGTAAGAAATTTGAATGTGTAAGAGTGGTGATTCGTTGTCGTCCATTAAATGATACAGAAAAGAAGGATGGACGTGTTTGTATAGTAAATATGGACACAAAGAATGGGTAGGTTACAGTAAGAAACCCAAAAATAGTGGATGAGGTGCCAAAATAATTCACATTTGATTAAATCTTTGACACCTAATCTCTTTAAGAAAATGTTTATAATTCAACAGCATCTCCAATAGTTGAAAGTGTATTGGAAGGATATAATGGAACAATATTTGCTTATGGTTAAACAGGTACAGGAAAAACACATACAATGGAGGGAAAGGATGATCCACCTACATTAAGAGGTATAATACCTAGAACATTTGATCATATATTTGAGAGGATAGAGAATATGGCAAAGAATAAGTAATTTTTGGTTAAGGTTTCATTTTTGGAATTATACAATGAGGAGATCCGTGATTTGTTGTCAAAGAATATAAAAAACAAATTAGAGATTCGTGAGAATCCAGACACAGGAGTTTACATAAAGGATTTAAGTAAATTTATGATAGAGAGTCCTTAAGAAATGAGAGAAAAATTATTACATGGTAGAGAAAATAGAGCAGTAGGTGCAACAGCAATGAATTAAGATTCTTCACGTTCACATTCATTATTTTAGATAATTGTAGAAACAAATGAAATGATATAAGGATAAAGTCATGTGACAGTTGGAAAATTAAATTTAGTGGATTTAGCAGGTAGCGAGAGATAGAGTAAAACTCATGCTACTGGAGATAGATTGAAAGAAGCAATCAATATCAATCAATCATTAACAACTTTAGGTAATGTTATAAGTGCATTGGTTGATAATAAATCTTAACATATTCCATATAGAGATTCAAAATTAACAAGACTCTTGTAAGATTCTTTAGGAGGCAATACTAAGACTGTAATGATTGCAAATATAGGTCCAGCTGATTATAATTATGATGAAACTATATCAACATTAAGATATGCTCATAGAGCTAAATAGATTAAGAATGAACCTAAAATTAATGAAGATCCAAAAGATGCTTAGATAAGATAATTTTAAGAAGAAATTCTAAAGTATTAAGTTGTAGATAAATTATAGATTGAAATAATAATTAGAAGCTTCAATTGAAGGTGGTGGAGGAGGTATGATGAATCCTGGATAAGAAGTACTTGTTTAAAAGGTTGTTAAAGTTAAAAATGTGGATAAAATTAAAGAAGCTGAAAATATAATAGAGAGAGAGAAAGAAGAATTAAGAAAGAAGATTGAAGAAGAAAGAAGAAAGATTGATTAATAGAAGAATTTAGGTGAAGAAGAAAAAATGAAATTATTAAAAGTATTAATATTAGATTATCTTATTAGTAATTATAAGAAAAAGAAGAACAGGCCAATAATGCTAGAGAAACATAATAGAAATTAATTAAAACTATTCAAAAAATGGAATAAAAATTAGTTATTGGTCATACTGAAGTAGAGGAGGCAAGAAGAAAAGAAAAAGAATTAGAAGAGGCAAGAAAATTGATTGAAAAAGAAAAAGCTGAAGCTGCAAAAAGATCTCTAGAATTGTAGAAAAAGGAAGAATTTAACTTAGAATTATAAACTAAATATAATTCCATTAAGGAAGAATTAGAAGATAAAACTAGAAGAATCAAAACTCTTTAATAAAAGACTCGTTAATTAGAATTTGAAAATAAAGAAACTGATGAATTTATGGCTAAAGAAATTGAAGATCTATAAATGAGAAAAAGAGAAATTTTATAAGAAGTTAAATTAAAGCAATTCATTCTTGATTATTTCATTCCCCCAAAATTTTTAGAAACTATGCAAATGCTTGCCTTTTATAATGAACCAGCTGAAGCATGGACTATTCAAGGATTAGATTACTCTGGAAAAATGACTAAAAATTAAATTTAATAGGCTCTTTAAGAACAACAATAATTGAATGCTACTGATCAAATTAACAGTGAAGAAAAACTACAAGAATTACTCAATCATCCTAATGTTTATTTTGCTTATACAGAAGAAGGACTTGTAAGGGAAGAACAATTAGCGCCATAAGAAAAGAAGAAAGTTTAAAAAAGATTACAATCTGCTAAGAAACCGTAATCAGCCAAAAAGAGACCTTCATCTAAAAGAATTGAATCTGCCAAAAAGAGTGTCAATTTATAAGAATAGAACTATCCCAAAGCTAAAGGACTCTCATCCAAATGAGAAACATTAATAAATATTATAATTTTATATTATTTATGTAATAATAAGAAAAAAATCGAATTTATTATGGAAGGTTTATCTAAAGGGAGAAACTGAGTGCTGGTATTATTTAATTATATAAAAAGGATCTTTTGGAGTTGTCTATATATGCTAAGATAAAGTGTCTAGAGATTATGTGGCTATTAAAGTAGAAAAAGAAAATAGCAACATGATGAGCTTAGAAAGAGAGATCCAAATAATAGAAGAATTAAGAGGAATATAAGGTAAACTAACTAAATTATATGAAGGTATTCCTAAACTTTATTGGTATGGAAATGAGTATAACTCAAATTGTATGGCGATGCAATTACTGGGTCGAGATCTCTCACATTATTTAAAACGATATAGAAAGTTCTCAATGAAATGTATATGTAATTTGGCAGAACAACTACTAGATATTATTGAAGAAGTTCATAAGAGGTAATCCTATTTCTTGAAATTTAAGAGGTGTGATCCACAGAGATATCAAACCAGAAAATATTCTTATGGGAAGAGGCAATGATACCAATACAGTGTATCTAGTTGATTTTGGCATTTCTAAAAAGTTCAAAGTAAATGGATAACACATGTAATTTTATTTCTTAATCCTAGTCCATTTTAAGAACAAAAACCCTTTATGGGTACTACCAGATATGCAAGCATACCAGCACACAAAGGCTATGAATTATCTAGACGTGATGATTTAGAAAGCTTGGGATATGTCTTTATTTATCTTTTAAAAGGTATTTTAATCACTATTCTTAGGCAATTTACCTTGGCAAAATATTACTTCATCTTCTGATAAAGAAAAAACTAAATTAGTAGGTAAACTCAAAATGGAACTTGAAACCAAAGATTTATGTAAAGGTTTACCTATCGAAATATAAAGATACATGGACTATGTCTAAAAACTTAAATTCGATTCTAATCCAGATTATAAATATTTGTTTGGTTTATTTTAAAAGATTGCTAAATAATAAGGATTTCAATTAGATCGAAAATTTGATTGGAATGATTAATATACTACTTCAACTAAGTCTTCTGATGGATAATAACCAAGATTATCAGGTAAGGAATTTGAAATTGCATAAGATGAAATCTTTAAGATTGATAAATCTGAAAAAAAAAATAAAAATTGTGAATCCAACCTTAGTCAATAATCTTCAGTTATGTTAAATTATGTACCATCAGTCATACAATAGATAGGTGGCAGATTTGGTTCTAAATCGAATGGGTATTTAGTATTTTTATTGAATTTAGTCGCTCTAGATAAAATTCTAGGTAAAGTTCCTTTTCAAGAGAATCTTCTCTTCTGAAATAATAGACTGGCTAAACTAAAAAAAAAGAAAGCCAGTTATAAAAAATAGGATAATTTTAAGATTTTGAAGATTTAGAAATATAAAAAAAATTGCCAAAATAAATATAAAAGGATTTTTAATTAGATGATTTTGGGGATGATCTCAATGATGAAGGAAATCTAGAAACTAAATTGAAATAGTTTGAACCTATTCAAGTACATTTCAAAGAACATCTTTCAAAATTTTGAGAGAAGTATTCACTCCAAATACCACTTCTAATGATTTGTATTAGAATTTACATACTTTTTTTTCCTTATTTATTTTAGTAATTATATACAAAAAGTTTATTTTACAATTATTCCTTAAGTCACTCATAGGGATTTGCATATGTTTTCAAATTTGATTAATAATATGAAATTAAGGGTGTATCCAAAAATACAAACTGCAAACCTAATTTTATTGATTTGATTTTTTACTATTATCTATTTCAATTATTTATTCAATTAAACATTTTGTACAAAATTAAAACAAGTTCGTTTTTGGATATTCTATTATTCCTTTTAAAGAGATTATGTATTGATTATTTGATTAAAAAGATTTTACATGATAAATTTAATTCCTATCCATAGTTTTAAAAATTTCATATAAAAAGATTAAAAAACAAGGTTTGATTGTAAAGATATCATCAAATTTTGTATTGGTAAATTTTATTTTAAAATTGATGCTTTTAAAATAATTTACTAATTTATCTATTGTTCTTTGTGGGTTAATTTTTTTCTGTTTTTCTAATTTAGAATGTTCAAATAGTAAACTTTATCTATGAGATATTAACAATTTAATTGCTAAATTTATTTAGTTATGTTCAACAATAGTCTTTAAAATCTTACAAGTCTCTCGTATATGTTTTATAAAATATTTCAAGTATATTAAATGTTATTGTTTAAATTATTGCTACATCTATCTAATATCTTAGTCTTCTGATTATAAAACAATTACAAAATTAGGTTACCCTAAGTAACAACCTGAAATCAATAATTTTATTTTTTTCTTTTTAAATACAATTTGTAATTCTTAAACAAAAGGTTAGAATGAAGAGAAACTGCTAGTTATTATTTTGAAATAAATATGTTCCTATAAGGTTGTACTTCCATATTTGGCTTCTTTTAAAAATTCATGAACAACGTTGGTATCCTCAAAAGGAAATCCCAATTTATTAATCATTTTTAATTAATATGAGAATGTATCTTGGTCAAAAGTAAACACAAGAAATGGTTTTGTTAAAATAAATGGCAGCATAATCTCTAAAATTAAAGTTTTATATACCCCATGAATTATCTTTTAAAGTCATCAAAAATGAGGATCTTTGAAATTTTTCTGATTAATATAAAATAATAATGAAGCCGAAGCTAGTTAGAAAAGCAACTACGAATTAGATATAGATAATATTTGTATAAAGACCAGTTACAGATAATCTAATAACTAACATGGCTAAGTTAGACACCACAGCATAATTAAAACTTTAAGTAAAGATTATTATCGTATGAATCAGCATAGTATTACATCCATACAGGTAATAATTCAATTCATCGTAAGAATCATCTTACTCATACTCAAATAAAGCAATCAATAAATTGACAATAAAAAGCCCCTTATTAACTTGGCTTTTGTTTTTTTTCACAATTAAAACAGTTATAGCAAGCATAACTATTGCAATTACTCTTACAATTATTGTTTTAATATCAAGCTTAATTATTTGGAATACTAAGGACACCATAAAATATAAAATAGATGAGTAAGTACAAAAATTAAAAGTAGGTAATTAAACACTATCAGCAGCTTATTTTCTAAATTTGCTTTCAATTGTAGCATCCTTAAATTAAAGAGTATATTTATTCATAAATAATTAATTTGAAACACAAGAAATCTCGTAAATTTATGTCATCAATATATATAATAAAATTTTAATCAACTATTACTTTAAATATTCAAATATTCATTTTTAACTCCAAGCTTTTAGTAAATGATCATATTCAGGATATTCTTTAATTATTTTTATAGCCTCTTCTTTAAATCCATCTTAGACCAGTTATTATGTAAAATCAACAATATATTAGGTCAATTTTTAGTTGTACAATCTGGTTTACTAATTGAAAATTTAATAAAAATTATTACAATGCCTTTAAATTCATTTATTCCTTTCTATTTATTTATTTCATAAATTAGTTTACATTTATAATATTGTAATTCTAGAACATTCTAAAATTCTTTATCTAGTTCAGTAATCAACATATTGAAAAAATCAAATCTATGTTCACTTTTCAATATCAAAGATTTTTATGAAATGATATTCATTAATAAGCTGGATTTTTCACTCAGATATACCTTAAATGCTTCTTATAAATGAAACTCTTATTTTTGATAGTTTTTATTTTCAAAAAATAAATGACTCATCACTATATGATAATAAACAGTTAATTCACTATCAATATTACCATATTTTTGTAATCCTATATTAATTGTCTCATATAAATTTTCATCAAATTTCTAATTAAATTAAGTTATCATTAGTTCTATAGCTGTTTTCAAATATATTTAAAAATTATTTTCATTCATATCTCCTATGATTTAAAGTGCCTCTTTATGTAAATTTATAGCTTGCTGATTATCTACTTGTAAATATGTATTAGCCAACTTATTCAAATATTGAATATACTTCTCTGACTGTTTCCCAAGCAAGTTTTCAAAAATCTATAAGATTATTAATATATTTACTTAGAGTCCTGATTTAATATGCTCTCTGGCCTATTCTAAAGAACCCATGTCTTCAATCACAATTATCATACTCTCCAAAATTTAATCAATTCTTCTTATTATGTATGCATTTTTGTCATGTGACAAATCTATAAAATATTAAAGTCCCTTTTTGAAAGGATCAAATGATTCCTACATTTTACATTCTCTCAACAACACTAAAGCTTCTTTTTCATAATAATCACCTAAATCATGTTAATACAATTTTTCTGATGATGATTTATTTATTTCAATTAATTGCTTATATTAATTCATTATTTCTCTTATTTCTCCTAACTTCTCTTTCATTATACCATTATCTAATGCTATTTATATGATTCCAATTTTAGCTTCATTTTCATTGATACTTTTTAATTATTATTTTAATTCTTAAAATTATTGCGATGTAATCGGTTGATCAATCAATTAATCAAAAAACTATTTATTTTTTAGATAGTATGCTGTTTTACTTATCCTTTGTGGTAGTGTGTAATGAAATCTATATAAACAACGAAATAACATTTTAATTTATTTATCATCATTAATTATAAAATACATGTAATATGAACCTCAGAATTATTAATTTAACAAATTAAATTGATCATTTGAAATATTATCAAAAGTGTAGAGTTAATTAAATGAAGAGTGAACCTCTTTGAAAATCCAAAAATGAGCTAAGAATTAGTAAATTATATTTACAATTTAAAACTTCTATATGTTTTTCAAAGATTATTTTTTGGCAATATAAAAATTATTAATCTACAGGTAATTTTTCAATACCTGAAAGCGACAATTATGGAGACTGTGCTTCCTAATTTTAATCAATAATAAATTAAATTTCTGATTTTCTATTAGATTATCTGATTATTGATAGTATAAAATAATAAAGTTCTGGTTTGTAAGTAAAAATTATATAATCTTATTTCGCTTAGAAATAAATTTTATATTTATAATTTACATGAAAAATCTGATAAAATTTTTGGAATAGTTAAGATATATTGATTCTAATTAATTTTGTATTTTTAATTGATTACAAAATTCTAAATTCAAGTACAGAAATTGATACTTCACTAATCATTTACATTTTACAATTTTTTAGTCTTTTATTCAATAATTTAGCAAGTTTTTTTAATTGATTATTATACTTTTAAGTAATTTCTTTTAGATGATTTTAGTATTTAAATTTTAAATCAATAAAGGCTTAATCAGCTGCTTCAATAACGATCATATATCTAATTGTATCAACACAATAAATTAAAAGTTTAATTTTCATTCTACTTTTTTTATAATAAATCTCTAATTTTTGACAATCAATATTATTGACTAAAGTGTTGAACTTCTCATATTTTTGAAATAAATATTTTTGTAGGGTTAATTTTTCATATTTACACTCCTTCAAAAATTCTCCAACAGAATCAAATTACATTTCTTAACTATCAGTTAATGATTTATTTATTGCAATTTACTAAAAAGAGAAAGAATCCTTATCAAATTTAAAAATTAGAAAAGGCTTACAAATTACAAACGGTAATATTTTTTCTATAAATAAAAAACTTTATAATACCCCAAGTTGTATCTTTTGTTTGATATAGATAAGACCTTCGTTAATATAATTCTGATTAATATAATAAGCCTGAAATTCCAATAGTTATTAATATTGTGTATAGATACTATTAAAATGTTAAAAAATCTTGATTTATAAAAGTAATTGCTGCTCTTGCTATTGCTAAAAGGAAATTGGCGCATAAACCAACTAAAAAATCAGAGCCCATGAATAAAATTGTATGTGTAAGCATTTAATTGCAACCGAATAGATATCCTTGATAATATGTATTGTCTTAATTTGTTTCTGTTTCAAGTGATACGAGCAGGAAGTTTATTATTATTAAAGTTAAATTGGGAAATTTCTTCAATTATTTGAAAAGTAAGCAGAGTAGTATAATTATAAATAGTATTACTGCTTATGGTATCAAATAACTATAATCATGTTAAACTAATTAATATATGAGTTTGCTGCCAATAATTATTATTGATAAAATGTAAGTGTATATAAGAATAGGGCTTTACCATGAATTAAACTTATATAATCGATAAGAATTCTCGAGAGTAGTTTCTTCAAATTTCAATGTATAAATATTCATATATTTTAATAAAAAATAACTCGTGCTTTATTTAAAGACAATTAATTCTAAATTAAATGTTTAGAATTTTAATGACGAATTATCTAATCTTATTAAACAGATTAAATCAGTAGTGGTGATTCATTAAATTTAAATTTTAAGATAAATGATTTAAAATTTGGATCAAACTAAAGCAGAAATTCCGTCAGATGAAAATGGAGAGAAAAAGAGCTCAACAAATTACTCATTAAATTTCTAAAATCAAAGTTTATTGTATAAGCATTTTTATAATGAACATAAATTCAAGAAATTCATATTTGCTTTCTTTGTTGTAGTAATAGTTTTAAATTTCTTTTGCAACCTATCATTGTTTATAGCAAACTTTCAGACATAAGAGATTATAGAAGAAAATTATTTTTTAACATTTCATTAATTGGATTTTTGGGGAGCATTTCTATTTGCTTTAAGCGAAGGTTGTGTTTTCCTCCTAACAGGCTTAGTTACAGTGAATTCATACAAGATTTACTTGATAATAATGAATGTAGGTGGAACTTTAGTAGCTTTGATTCTTTTTATTTTCAATCCGGATTTTTTTGAGCCTGCTTCTCATTGGATTGAATACAGCGTTTAATTACTTTTAATATTGACAGATTTTCTTTTCATATTTCAACAAGACAAGACTTCGTTAATGTACAAATACAGATATGTTGAGTCATTTATAATTATAATTACATTCATAATGGCAATTATTAAATTACTTTTTTATGGAAATGTAATTTCGACTAATGATGATGGAGAAAGATAATCTCATTTTTTAGAATTTAGTGGAGAAATGATAAATGACTGTTTTGCTATCTTTTTTATAGTTCTCTAATTATAAAAAGAGAATACAAATATCTTTCAAACTATGTAAATGCAACTTGATAAACTATTAGAGTTAAATGGTATCACTTTTATATAGTGATTTGATATATATTTATTTAATTATTTGATTAATATAAATCAATTATTAATACAGGAGAATTAATAATATAATTAATAATGTAGAAGAATCTATAATTTAACTTTAAATAAAATTATTCCAAATATTGTTTTTATATATTTAATAAGTTTTAACAAAATTTCTTCAAAAATTCCAGATTAAATCATAAATCTTTCAATTACCTTTCACCTATATCGTAGGATAAATGTTAAATCTAAAGTAATTAATAAACATTCTGTTTTTGTATAAATTGAAGGAAAAGTCTGACAAAAAAAACCAATATTTTTTAAATATAAAAAATCAGATAAAATCTGAAAAGTTTTTAAATAGTATATTTAAATCAGCAAATATTCTAAAAACAAAAAAAATTAATTATAAAATTTAACAAAATCGTATTATCGTTCATCAAATCAATTCCTTGGTAATAATCTTGCAAATTCATTCTAAGAGATTTGATAACCAATATTAATATAGATAATTGAAACTTTGTTGATTAGAGTAAATTACGAAAGATTTATAAAATCATGTTCTAGATTTTTTAGTTAACAAAAAGCTTAATAAAATTTTGATTATTAATTAAATTGTTTTCTAAATCTGTAGATATATATATCATAGGAAAAAACTAAGTAAACTTTGCTTTTATATCTGTTAGATAAGGGTGGTATTATATTTTAATTCTTTAGAGAATATACAAATATTATTTTTAATTTAAGGCTACATATATATATATATCTTAATGTGATTAGGGTTTAAAATAGTTTTATGATATCTTTTTTAATTGTTTACATTACTATATTGATTCAATGTTTTGCTTAAGATTTGTCAGAAAAAAAGAGGAATAAAGAAATATTAGAATAATAGTTTTAGTAAAATGTAAAAGTTATATATAGGTAAGGTTAAAGAGGTGAATAAGTAAGAGATATATAAATTGTTAATGCAGTATGGATTAATAAAGAGTTTTGAGGATAAGGATAGCTTTTGTTTTGTAGAGTATTATTATGAGAGTGATGCTCGAATGGCATAGTATGAATTAGATGGAAGATCAGTTTGTAATACTCGAATAGTTGTTTAATTTTCAAAGGCATTAATGAAATAAGAAGACTTATTGAAAGAGGCATTACCGTCTTCAACGCGTAAGATATATGTGGGGAATTTAAATCATAAGTTCACAAGTTAGGAATTAGTTGAGATCTTTAATAGATTTGGAAAGATATTGGACATAATATTTAAAGAAACCTATGCATTGATTGAATACCCAACATAATAATGTGCAACTGAAGCAATTTTATATATGAATGAGAAGAATTGTAAAGGAGAAATTTTGAAAGTGGATCTCTAGAAAACATATGACGAAGTTTTGAGTTCTAGTAATCGAATATATATTGGTATATACTTATGATTAAAATTGAATAGGAAAGATTGGAAATTTAAAGAAGATGGATTTGATTNTATTTAAATCAGCAAATATTCTAAAAACAAAAAAAATTAATTATAAAATTTAACAAAATCGTATTATCGTTCATCAAATCAATTCCTTGGTAATAATCTTGCAAATTCATTCTAAGAGATTTGATAACCAATATTAATATAGATAATTGAAACTTTGTTGATTAGAGTAAATTACGAAAGATTTATAAAATCATGTTCTAGATTTTTTAGTTAACAAAAAGCTTAATAAAATTTTGATTATTAATTAAATTGTTTTCTAAATCTGTAGATATATATATCATAGGAAAAAACTAAGTAAACTTTGCTTTTATATCTGTTAGATAAGGGTGGTATTATATTTTAATTCTTTAGAGAATATACAAATATTATTTTTAATTTAAGGCTACATATATATATATATCTTAATGTGATTAGGGTTTAAAATAGTTTTATGATATCTTTTTTAATTGTTTACATTACTATATTGATTCAATGTTTTGCTTAAGATTTGTCAGAAAAAAAGAGGAATAAAGAAATATTAGAATAATAGTTTTAGTAAAATGTAAAAGTTATATATAGGTAAGGTTAAAGAGGTGAATAAGTAAGAGATATATAAATTGTTAATGCAGTATGGATTAATAAAGAGTTTTGAGGATAAGGATAGCTTTTGTTTTGTAGAGTATTATTATGAGAGTGATGCTCGAATGGCATAGTATGAATTAGATGGAAGATCAGTTTGTAATACTCGAATAGTTGTTTAATTTTCAAAGGCATTAATGAAATAAGAAGACTTATTGAAAGAGGCATTACCGTCTTCAACGCGTAAGATATATGTGGGGAATTTAAATCATAAGTTCACAAGTTAGGAATTAGTTGAGATCTTTAATAGATTTGGAAAGATATTGGACATAATATTTAAAGAAACCTATGCATTGATTGAATACCCAACATAATAATGTGCAACTGAAGCAATTTTATATATGAATGAGAAGAATTGTAAAGGAGAAATTTTGAAAGTGGATCTCTAGAAAACATATGACGAAGTTTTGAGTTCTAGTAATCGAATATATATTGGTATATACTTATGATTAAAATTGAATAGGAAAGATTGGAAATTTAAAGAAGATGGATTTGATTTTAAATTTTGGATAGTTTGGTTTCATTGAAGATATTAGTGTGAAAGATGATCTTTATGCATTTATTTAATACAGAAACAATTTACATGCCAGTAGAGCTATTAAAGAAATGAATAATACAGAAATCAAAGGAAATAGAATATAAGTGCAAGAAGCCAGATGTAAAATAGGAATTTAATATCAGCTAAAAACCATTTGCCATTAAATTTTAACATAAGCCAATATCTACCTTAGCATTCCAATTTATTAGATTAGTTGGCTCCAAATCAATTATTAAATAAAGGCCATGAAGAAAATAAGAATAATCTTGTTCAAAAACCTAGTCGAAGTAGAAGTAGAAGTAAAGAAAAGAAATAATCTGCTAATGGGTTAGCTATACTTAAAGATCTTGAATTAACTTGAATTTATATATATATTTATATATATAAATATATAAATTATCTTTTAATTATTTAGATTATAAAATGGAAAGAGAGGAAAGGTTCTTAGAAATTTGCAAAGGAATTAGAAGTTTGGATGGTGAGAGTGTAAATTCGACAATAGAATTCATTGAAACTCCTTGTGCAAAAGAATAGAGAGACATTGTTAGAAAACTCTTGAGAAAAGGATATAGCAATTCTTAAATTTATTCAGAGGTCAATAGAGTTTTCGGAACTCATTCCATTTTAAAAGTTTATTGTTGGGATGTCAAAGACCCTAAAAAATATTTTGGAATGGGTTTTATTGGAATAGGCATTGCTTTTGGAATGGCAGTTCTAAAAAAAGCAATCAAGAAATGATAAAATAATCAGATATAATTATATAGGTGTAAGAAATCTTAAATAATTAAAGAAATATTATTGATCATTAATTATATTTAAAAAAAATAATTTATCAATCAAGAAAGGATGACTTCAGCTCTAGACTACAATGTAGACTAGATGTCTGAAATGTTTCTAAAATTAAGTGGTCAGATAATATATAGATGGAATTCTTGTGGAAAAATTTGTAAATTTTCACAGAGAACTCTTCCTAAAATTGGTTATTCTGACTACTTGAAACGTCTTCTACTTTATAGTGATTGTTCAATTCAATGTTATGCAATAGTTATAATTTATCTTGATAGATTTACTAATAAAAATGAACATTTATGGTTAGATTAAGCTAGTTTATACACACTCACATTAGTCTTGCTAGTAATTTCTATTAAATTTTGGGATGATCAAAAATATGCAAATAAATATTTTGCAAAGCTGGGTGGTGTATCCCTGAGATTGTTAAATGAATTGGAATTGGAAGTATTAGAGTTGATGAATTATGATCTATTTATTTAAGAAGATCTCATTTTTAGATACATGAAGTATTTTAGTTGATGATTTTTATCAATATTTTATAAATGATTATATAAATTGTATTTAATAAAACTATAAGCGCTTGTTTTCATTCAAATTTAAATTAATTATATTAATAATGGAAACCCAAAAAGGCAAAAGAATGGGATAAGGTAAATTAGCTGGTGCAAAAAGACATAAAAGTAAAATGAACAAGGAAAAGAAGGGAGGATAACACATTACAAATGGAGACATCCGAAGACTTGCTAGAAGAGGTGGAGTAAAAAGAATATCTTCAGATTCTTACTCAACAACTAAGTATCATTTCTAACTATCAAATAAGAGATGTCATAGTTAGTTTTTTGTAAGCTCTTGTTAAAGATGCCATTATATACACAGAACATGCCTAGAGAAATACGGTTTAAGCCATGGACGTAGTTTATGCATTAAAAAAGTATGGAAGAAACTTATTGTTGAATAACGATTGAATAATTATAATTTTGAATTCCATTATCATAATTACTATTTCTTTATTATAGAAAAAAAATTATCTATCTTTTCTTTTTAAATTGTCAATTATCTTCATGTCTTCCTATTTTATTTTATCAGCAATTCATTCCTCTGCCTACCATAGAAATCAATTACTTTTTTGAATTCATATTATAAAGTGATTGTTACTTTCATTAAATTAGAATTAATTTGTTATATCTTATAATAAATCAAGAAGTTTAAATTACTATCCTCAAATTAGTTTTACCGCTCGATTTTGAAAGCAAAGTTTAAATTGCCACAAAGAACAAAGAATGATTTATAGTTTTCGAGAACATGGTAAAAATGAAAATAAGTTCCTTTAAGAGGGGAATAAGAAAAAAATGAAAAGATATTCAAATCAATAAAAATAACATTAAATGGTTTATGGGTTTATACATGTGCAATAGTTAGATACAAGAAGGATTAAAAAGTAAAATATTCAAAATAAAATGCATAATCAGTAGGTCTAATTTAATATTAAAGTGTGAGAAAAAACTTAATTTTTATTAGGAAATCAAAATACAATAGAATTTAGAAAATTTAAAAATTATTAGAGAGAAATTTTATAAGAGTAAAATAGAGGTTTTGAAACTCTACAACTCATAAACAGTGAAAGATAATCATTCAGTTATTGTATCATATAAATGGTAGGTTCGATTGCTAGATTTGCTTTACTTGAACAATGAGAGCATTATTCAAAGAGACATAAAGGCATCTATTAATATAATGATAGAGTGGAAAGCTTAAGAGTTGAAACTACAGATTGAAAAATCACATTTTATAGCAAATATGAAAATAATAATTTAAACTTAGAAACAAATTAGAAATTTGAAATCAAAACTTATTCAGATTCTAAGTGAGAAAAATTCATATTTATCAATATTTCTCTTGATATATTGTTGATAAAAATAATCAAGTACATTATCATATATCATCTATTCCTTTATCTTTCATTGACACATAATCCATTACCAAAGTTTGTTTCTTTTGTGGATAAAGATAATAATGTTGGAATATCAAGATTGAATCAAACACAATAGTCAACAATCCTAATGAGAATTTCACTGGGTTAATCTCAGGATGTACTACCCTTATTAATGTCAATTACCATCTTAAATAAATTGATCCATAACAGTTTGTACTACTGACAAAATCCCCCCTGTTAAATCCAAAAGACTCACCCAAATATTCCAACCTATTGTTTTCTTTCTTTTGTAATTCCAATAAACTTAGGGTATATACTTAATGAAACTTATCAATAATTTATCATATCCTATTATTCGATATGCATTGTAATCAACAGATACATTCCATACATCAAAAGTCTATTTACTTCTTTAAAATCATACTTCTGTTAACAAAAAATATATTGGTGTCAAAGTCCACAGCAAAATTAAAATAGCTATTATTTATATTGATAATTTATTGTCTCCTAACTGTATATTAGAATTTCATACAGGAAATATTATCATTTGACCAATTATTATCAATGTGCACAATAAGCCATGATACGCAAATGCCAAATCTTCTATATGAATAGTACCAACATTCAAAGATTCATCCATAAAACCAGCTGTACTATATATACATAAACAAATGTATCCTGTTATATTCAATCCAACATAATCAACACTCAATCCATTCACACTAACACTTAACTCATTTCAATACTTTTTCAATTTCTAATTCTCATAGATTTAAGGATAAAAACTTATACTCCATACTGCAAAATAAGTCCATCCTATTATTGCACTAAGTATCTATAAAAATGTCATTAATTATATACCAAATTTAATATATTATATTCATTTATTAAATTGGTATGAATAGTGCTAACTTATAAATATTGGAAATACTTTTATCAGACCTTCTACTCATTCTTGCTGTTTCGTTTGGTATAGAATATCTCTATTTAAGAATCTTTTGTACAACCAACTACTCAAATTCTCATCTTTGCTAGCATCATCATTTTCTTTACCTTCATTACTGCTTTCTATAAAATACAAAATTAAATTCTCAAAAAACAGTACTAAAACCAATTTTCCATTATATTTAATCTGAGACTTTTAACAATCGTATTATATTCTGCACTCTCAAATTAAGAACTTAACCTATTACTCATCAACCATTTGGAACTATAATTCAATATTAAAATAGCTATCTTAACTAAACTAGCACTTTCGGCTATTTTATTTGATTACTCTAATCTCTTAACACTACCTTAAAATTTGGTATTCTATTCTTATTGTTTTTTTGTATTTCTACAGATTGGAATACATTATAAATTCACTCAGAATTAATCAAACGAATAATTACCTCAGAAACTCACATTGGATGCCCCTCCAACATTTCATGCAAAATCTTAAGAAATTAAATCATCCAGATAAGATGAGTATTCAAAATCACCTGGAATGTCATCTTCTGACATAAAACCATTGTAATTGAACAGTGCCCAGCAAGTTTTAAATGAAGATGATCTTATCATGTCTAATATGTACTAATGAGTGTAAAAAGAATAAAGGTCGTGGCTTTCAAATCAGTCTGTATTAGTTTACAATTTAGAATTTACTATCGTATATTAAACATTCTATCTCGGAAAGTTATAGAAAAACATAGGGGATAAGTTTGATTACGAAGCTACATTTTTGGAATCTACCATAATAATCGGATGTAAAGAGATAAATGAACTCTTAGGATAAACAGGATTTAGTGATTCAATATTTAGTGAGTAAGTTCATTAAATTAACATTTAGTGGTTCTTTTTTATTCAATAATTTGAATGAAGTACATAAATGTAAAATCAAAGGGCAATTTTCACTTAAGGATTTAACTAATTTGTTAATCAAAGATTTTGAAAAGTAAAAAATAAATCTTATATTAATAGATGGAAATTTTTCACTCTAACAATATTCAAAGTAAAAAATGATTTTTTAGATTTAGATGGAATTTAAATAAAATTATTTCTTAATTACATAGAAAATCATAAGTTTATTTTATTTAGTCTTGAACATCATCCTATACCTCCAAAGATGCATAATTAAGAAATCAATCTAATTCTATAAAATATTTATCTCTCTTATTCTCATGAATCAATTAATTTTGTGAATTGTATCCTCACATATGTTTTAATACTTATTCATCATATTGATCAATAAAGTAATGAAACTAATAATCAAATAAATGTATTTTTTAAATTGATTTTAGAATTTTGTTGCTAAAGATTAGATAGAATATTTTATTAATTGCTTATAAAATATGAAATACTCAAGTTAAAGATACACATACTTTTTAAATTCCATGAAGGACTACATATTTTATTTAAAAAATCAATTATTCTTTAAAATTAATACTATAAAAATGGAAGATCTACTTGATGATTTACTTTTAAATTTTGAGCCCATTTTATAACTCAAAAAAATTAAATTAATAACTAATGTAGATTTGTAAGATGGTAATGCAATTATCTTCAGTGATACAGAACGAGTAAACTTATTATATATTTTAGATCAAATAAATAATCACCTGTTTACTTAATTATTTTTTATAATCCTCTTATTAAAGCTCTATTAAATTAGAAATTAAGAGTTACACTTTATAAGGTGTGATGATCACCATCAAAGATACAAAATCTGATTTTGATGAATTAACTAAATAAAGAATAATAAATTTAACAAAAATCTTAAATTAATAATTAAAAAGATAGAAAACTGTAAATGAATTAGACTTTACTAATCCATTAGAATTATAAATGAGTATAATTCTTTGTTGGTAATTAGCAGGTTAATTCAAAAGAGGATTAGAATTTTTAATAGATAGTTAAGGATTTTGTACATTTACATTTGTAATAGAATCTTAAACTTCTCAAATGAAATATCAAAATTCTGCTGCAGATACTGGACCAATAAAAATAGTAGATAAAAAGAAGTATTTTGAAACATCTTTATCTTTACTTCTTTAAGAGAATATGAATTCAAATAATCCAGGAGGTGGTGAATCAAAATTATTGTCATTCACTCAATTGTCTAAATAATTGTCCTAAAAACCTACTGATCCTTTAGATCTTTAAAGTGCTTATTTTTCATAACTTTCTAAGATTCGACAAGAAACTTCAAATTCTAAAGCTTTTCCTAATAGTGGTACAATCAACAAACAATCAAGAGAACATAGTGGAAGTTTTTCAGGAACTTTAAAATAATAAATATAATCAGATAGCATTTAATAAATTTCTCGAATTCTAAATAGAAATAATTTGAGTGTTATAGGTAAAATGGAATCTCCTCCTCATGAATCCCAACATACATTTACACTTATTGATTTTGGTCAAACTGAATAAGCAGCTATTTAAGTAAGATTACCTGAATTCAATCCAAAACTTTTGGCACATGTAATTAAATATAGATTAAGGACTAATTGTTGTTCAAAAGTACTACTTTTAGATAATGATCCATTTTCAATTATTGTCCTATAGAAAGTACTTTAGAAATATGATATTAAATGTGATTATTCCTTTAATGGGGCATAAGCTATGGAAGCAATAGAGAGTAAAAGAAATTAACCATGTCATTGTGGAAATCGCTTTTATTTATTATACATAATCGATTTAAATATTCCAGTAAAGTAAATACTTATATAATAGATTTTCAAAGGAGGAGAATTTGTACAAAGAATAAAATAAATGATGTATATGGGTGATATGGATAAAGGTTTTGCAATTGCAACAGCTACTGTAGTTGATTTAAATAGCAAATTGGAATGCTTTCGTAATGGTATGGATTATTTCATTACAAAACCATTTGATTTATTAGAGATCAGTGCAGCAGTGACATACCTTGATTTTTGATTAGTTTAGTATGATAGGGTAAATTTAATATAATAATAATAAAAATGAGAGGACATCAAAAGAGTACACCAAATCTAAAATTTCTACAGCCATAATTAACTGCTCGTTAACCAAAGAGAACTGATTCAATTAATTTACGAAATGATATTCCAAAGACTCAGAGGACCAATCAAACTGAAAATTCAATGTCAATTGACAAAATATACTAAGTTACTCCAAGCAGAGCAGTTACTCTCAAGAATGCATCTCGAGTCTTGAAATAAAACTTTATTCAAAAAACAGAACCCAATGATACTTTCGATAAACAAAATATTTCTGATAACCTTAGATTATTAAGTAGAAAACAAACAGCTCCAAAATTAATATATAGACCATTTACTAAATAAAATAGCGAACCATTCTCCATAAAAGATTCACCTAGAATAGTTCAAAATATAAATTTGGCAGATATCAATACAATTTATTATATATCTGATATTGTCACTGCATATGAAAGTAAGGAGAACTATTTTAACAGACTTTTCAAAGATCATTTCTAGTAAAGCTTCATGGCATTTAAATAATGTGCCAATTCGAAGATTATTTACAAGCCAAAACCAATTATTATCCCTAAGGATCCAAAAGGTTATTCTAAATATTTTAAATTAGATACTAAAAAGTATACACTCCTACTTGATTTAGATGAGACATTGGTACATTGCACTTTGGATTTGAAATTACCTTGTGACAAAAAGCTAATCATCAAACTTTCTTAAGATGAAACATTTTAAGTAGGTGTATCTGTTCGACCTGGTTTGTAAATTATGCTTGAGTTACTAGAACCTAATTTTGAGATCATTGTATTTACAGCTTCACATGGACAATATGCAAAACGAGTATAATTACTAATTAATTTAGATTGTTGAATATATTGATCCAAAAAGAATTATATCTCGAGTTTTATCTAGAGAACATTGCTCTTTTTCTGACCAAGGTTAATATGTTAAAGATCTATCCATCATCAAGAATCGCCCGCTTTCTAGGACTGTTCTAGTTGATAACTCTGCTATAAGTTATTTCTATTAACTTGATAATGGTGTTCCAATCATTCCATTTTATGATAATAAGTCAGATAAATAATTACTTGCCTTAGCCAAATATCTTAATGGAATGGTTGGTATTGATGATATTCGAGAATATAATTAGTATCATATCATTATTATTTAGAAAAAACTTAAAAACCTATTTACTTGCTAAGCTATAAACTTAGGATTAAGTCTTAGAAATGTATAAAGTACATCATTATTCCAGAAAAAATTGATAGCGTAAAATATGATACTATTTAGTAGTTATTTGTATTAATTTTTGTGTTCATTTATTTATTGGTCATTTGTAATATTTCAATAAATTAATAGATTATAAATACTTTATATAAATAATAATATACAATAAATTTATTGTTTTATTTAATAAATAACAATTTTCTTTTATATATATGCATTATTGATATACTTTTGTTTCAAAAATCCTAAACCAATAAAGATTATTATTAAATAATTAAAATCTAAAATCCACCATTCTTTTCCTTTTATTTTAATTATTGTCTGATATCTTTTAAAAGTAGGAAAATATATATACAAATATTTTAAATATACATCGTCCTGTTTGACAAAAGTTTATCACATTTAATTAGAGAAAAAGTAAAATAGTGTATATTACTGTTGAGTTTTTCTGTCAATCTAAATAACCAAGAGATTTCAACAAATTTTGATTGGAAGCTCATTTTTAGGAATAAGAAATTCTAATTTGAAGCAATAAATTTTCTTGATACGACATAGTGTCCAACTATAATACATTTTTTAAACATTTTCTAACTAAACAGTTTGGGCTTCTTCGATAGAAGTTTTGACAATTTTTAGAATTTGAAGTTGAATGACTATTTTAGAATGAAAGATTTTTGATCGTTCAAATGTGAAGTATAGAGAATTCATATGTTTGAGTGGATTAAATAAAAATAAAGAAATCACTCTTTTTTAATTTCAATTTATTAGGTCTAAACATTATTGTAAGTTTAGGTTTGAGGACTCGAGATTTTATTATTAAAATCCTAACATAGAATCTAACAAAAGGATTGTTATTGACAATTGTTTTTGTCAAGTTTCTATCGTTCTTCATTATATTTCTTTAATTTGTCAAAGTCAATGAAGATAAACTACTAGGCTCCACTTCGTTTCAGATTTGATGCATTTTTTTAAGACTGGCAAATACCCATTTGATTTTTTAATATATTAATTGTTTATTAATTGATTTTAGATATTTAGACATACCATATAATAATTAGTTACTACTAAAAATCTTGTGTAGGAACTAATCAGAATCAATTGATTCTAAGAAAGTTTAGAATTAGTTTGATGAAACTTGATTCTAACTTATATTTGGTAATTTTTGCTTTATTGGTTCATGTTTAGAAAATAATATAATTATTATTTTTATCGATTAATAATACTAGGTTACATATTATTTTTTATTAAAATTATTTTTGAAAATAATGGAGGATAAACAATTTGTATAAAAATACCTTATATTGTTTTATAGAGTTAAGAGATATCAAGGAAATTTTAGATTTTTTTTGCACATATGGAATAATTTTGTTAATAATTTTTGAAGGGATAACAGATGGCGGAATTTCTTAATGATAAATCTGAAAAGAAAAAGGAACGAGATCCTAATGCTCCAAAGAGACCTTTAACTGCTTTTTTCTTATTTAGCTAAAAATATCGCGAAAAGGTTTTAGAAAGAAATCCGGGTATTGATTAGAGTGATTTTATTTAGAAGTAAAACTGACCTAAATTTCATAAATGGCTGGATAAAAATGGAATTCAATGAGTGAAGAAGAGAAATAGGTAAAAAATTAATAAGAGTATTTAGCCATATATTGATTAATATAATGAAGCAAAAAATAAATATGAAGAAGAGATTAAAGATTATAATGAAAAACAGGGTGTTTCAAATAATGATAAAAAGAGAAAGAAATCAGAAAAAGTATTTAAAACAGAATGAATATTAGTATGATGACAAATCTGTTAAATCAGGATAAGATTATCCTTTAGATGATATTGATTCTGAATCAATTTAACCATGTGTAAAACATCAACAATAACTAAAATAATAATAATAATAATAGTAATAGTAATAGTAAGAAGAAAAGAAGAAAATAAATTAAAATGTAATCTCTGATGATGATGATGACGATGAACAAATATAACAATAGATGTAATCAAAACCATAACCATAAAAAGTGAAAGTCATTAAACCCAAAAATAAGTAAGATATGGATGATGATCTATAAAGGGAGATAATCCAAATAATAAATAATGACAAATCAATAAAAAAATCAACAAAAAAATGAAATTATAAAAACAATTAAATAAATTCTATATTTAAGAATTATTCATCTTGAAAATTCTTTCAATAAAATTAACCAGGGTTATTCATTTTGATTTATCTTAATTATAGAATATATTGTTTTTGCAATTAATTCTGATAAACACATTAAACCTAGTTTTTGGGATCGTTGGATACAATCTCAATTCCTCTTGGTTATTAATACATGTGAATCATATATAGTTAAGTAAGATAATGTCTACCTTCTTGATTAAAATATCTAAAATAATTTCAATTCATACGTTTAATCACAATATCTTAAAGCTGATTATAAATCTAAATACACTAAACTCATTAATGGATTGTTAAAGTTCATTTAATAGATTTATTATTATAATACTACAATACTTTATTAAGCTTATTAGTATTGCATATTATAACATAAATTTAGAGAATTTCTGAAAGCTTCAGCTGCTTAAACTCTATAATAATGAGTCATGACTTCCCTAATCATTTAATGATTTTTATTACTAAAATACTATTTAATCTGCCATCAAATTAGGTATTATATTGACAAATTATTCAATTATGAATTATTCACCTGTTTCAACTGAGTCAGTATGCATTCTTACTGTTACCATTTCATCCATCAATCCTAATGGAACTCCAGTCTCAATTACAAAGTCTTTCCTTATTCCAAATAGTAATTGAGGTTGGTATATTGAAAAAGTGGAATCTTATGAATTGAAAACCCATTTATCACCATAAACTTTTTTTATTGAATTTTTCTTGCATGATACTGTAATGTGAGTATTATATGCAATAACTGATGCTTAACCTCCCAAAGCTTCAACAAAACATTCATCTATTTTTGATATTTCAGAAATATAATAAAACTATCCTTCTTTAAAATGAGCAATTTCTGACATAATTTTAGGACAACAATCCCTACCAAAACCAAAAGTATTGATTGTATATGGTTCTCTGATATTTTTTGATTAAATATCATTCCAAACTCTACCTGCAGCACCCTCATCTTCACCATCTGATAATAAAAATATTGAAGCTATAGGATTCTTAAATTTTCTATGTTTTAACACAGATAGAGCCATCTTCATTGCATTTCCAATATCAGTTGAACCATTAGCTTGTATTGTTTCAATAGCAATTAAGAATTTATATTTATTCTCATCTGACACTCTCATTAATCGAGTTAATCTATAATTTTGATCATCAAATTCAATTAAACATAATCTATCAATAGGTTACAATAAATTTAATAAATGTTTCAAAGATTTCTTAACTAGGTTCATTTTCTCTCCACTCATACTACCACTATGATCAATTAAACATATCTAAAAGTTTAATTTTGAATTACTAAATCAATTCCCTATCTTGTTGTTGCTGCATAATCTTTTGTTTAAATAGACAAAAGCATAGCTTAAGATCCTTGAATAGGTAATCCCTAAAATATTCATTACAATTACACAATAGTAGAGCTTTAATTGTATATTCTCTTAAAGAATATATCGAGCCTGTTTCATATAGTTTTAACTTAAAGATTTTCTTCCATAATTTGTATCATTTGTAATGACGACATCCTTGACATTATTTATAAATATTATACAATGGCATCGTCATCATTGAATTTGCTATGATCCTAACTAATTCCAGGTCTTTCTCCCTCAATGAACTACTCATTTATTATTATAGCCCTTGTGGTATTAGGATACTAATCATTGTCCCCAGAAGTACATTAATTTCCCATTTTTAAATATTTATATAATAAAATTGTTCATAATGCCTTATCAACCTTACTTTCATTTAGAAAGATTTTTTAACTAGTTCTAAAATCTTTCTTTTAATTAGTCTTTTCCAACCTTTTTATATTCTCCTCTTCCAAGTTTTTCTACCATTATTCTTTATGTTGTCCATCTATTTAAGCATTTTATATCTCAAAACATTTATCCTAATAGTATTTATTAGTTTCTTTTATTTTCGAAAGGATTTCTAAATTCTTGTAATACCTTTATCATCATTAAATAAAAATCAATTAAGCCTTATTTATTAATATTTTCAGGATCTTTTCCTTCAATTATTCTATATTGTAATTTTAATTAAATTAATTCATCATTCTATTGTCTGAATATTAATTAATCAACATATGACCAACATCTTAAAATACTCCATACATTTTATCTCTGATTGATTCTCTTTCAAGCTTTAACCTGAGTTCTATATTTCTGCTGCTTATACAAAAACTTACGATTTTTATTCAGGTATTTTTCTAAACCCAAACTCCCCCAAAAATAATGGGAGATTACAACGTTTTAATCAATATATTGTTTACTATAATTGTTGATTACTTGAAAAATTCCTTGATAAACTCTAAGATTTATAAAATTATTGGATTTTATAACTATTTTTCTAAAATTTTTGTGAAAGAGATCATTTTCTTTTAAAACTCCTTTATTTGCATATTTTAAATCTCCACATTGTATTCATATAAAATGATCTAATGATTTAAGAACTATTCCTATTCTTGGATTAGAGACATTATAATTAAAATAAAAGGCAAAGGTTTGTGTCATATCATATCAAATATTTTTATTATCAGAAATTTTATCCATCTAACGAAAACATGAATTTATATCATTGCATTTATTCATTTTTATTCTTTTACAATATTAAGCCAAATTTTTTAATCAGATTTATCATCTATTAATTGATATTTTCTATTTTACATTAAAATTTTTTATTTTTAATATTTTTTCATTTTTATTAATTATTTTGCTTCAATATTCTACTTGCTGGATTCTTAATAATAATATCATTTTTTTATCTTATTTTCCTATCCTTTTGTTTCATTTATTTTATTATCAAATAATTGACTTATACTTTATTCTAAAAATTTTGAAAATACTATTTGAAAGAAGAAATAATCACCAAAACCAACTTTTGATATTTTATTTAAAAATTACCTTTGGTAATCTTCAGAAAAAATGAATTAGAGTTAAATATTTTTTTATTGATCTAAATCTCCTTAAATTTAGCTTAGGAACGAATTAAAAAAAAAATATTTTTTTCGTAATTCAATAAAATTGATAATAAATCATTTAAGTAAGATATATTTCATATCTCTAAAAATTAGGATATTTCTCAGTAATTTAATCTAATCTTCTTATTTAACCTTTGTTTAGATTGTTGAAAAATTAATTTATTATATAGATTCTTTGTTTTGTATCAGCTTCTGAAATTTATGTTTAAAAAATTTAATTTAAAAATTAAATGATATTGATTCGAATGCTTTTTCATTTTAAAAATACTTAATACTTTTATTCCCTTAATTAGATTATTCTCCATGTCATTTTGAAAATATGAAAAATATAAAGACGTCATTCATTAAGTAAGAAACAACATAAAATTTATACGTTAATATTAATAGATAAGTTTTTATTTGAGTTAAAGTAAATTAAATGTCAGTATTTTATTTAATTTATTTAATTAATATATATATATAATAAACAGAGCATTCTAATGTGAATCATTAATTGTAAATTTAAAGTTTTCTTAATACTTATTTTTATAGTTTGAATTATTGAGTTAATAAATTCTTAACAAAATTTATTAATAATAGTTTAACAACTTTGAACAAGTACTAAAAATACTTAGAAATAAAAGAACTACAATATATATAATAAATATTAATATAATTTTTATGTGCTTAATGTTTCTGAACTTATAATAAATTTAATTTTTTAAAACAAGAATATCCAATCTATTTGCTTTTATGATTCTCTCATTTTTTTATTAGAACAGAATGGAGCAAAACAAAAAGAAAAATGTTTTCTAAGAAAAAAAAACCATTCCATCTATTAGTAGTCCCTCTATCATTTAATAATATGAACCTAGAACATAAGTAAGGAGATAGATAATAGAAGAAGAATAATAAAGATAATAAAAGAAACGACAAACGGAAAGGTTTCAACCTAAAGCAACATCAGAAGACGAGGATCTTCAATTGAATTATCTCTAAATTGGAAATTAAGCTAAAAAAAGGTAAAAAAGCTAAACTCAAAGATTGTTGCAGTATGATTTAAGAAAGCATTAAAGAAATAGATCAGAATAGAGATTTACAGTAAAAAATACAAATTAAGGTGTCAATACTGAAAAGTATAATGAATTCGATGATCTCGATTAAATTTCAGATGATAAAGCTGATTTATGCATAAGAAATCTTCCATAAAATAGATTAATGAAAAAAATGACAATATGATTATAAATTATCAAACAAGAGCACTAATTAATGATCATTGCTTTATTTGACTCTAAATTTAATAAACATTCTAAAATTACTCAAAATATTTTTTTATTCTGAAAATTACAAATAATACATATCAAATATAATTATTATATTCCATTTTTATCATTAACTTCTTAAGATTACATAAAATCCAATATTTAAATTTGTCATTATTATCAGGAAATAATTTAATGATTATAGAAATTGATTATTATAACTTGTATTTTCTAATAAAATATAGTTTTGCACTTTTAAATACTATATCTCTACATTTTTAAGATTTTTAAATAATCTTAACAATTAAATCATCTTTTATCTAAATTTCAATTAATTCATAAAAACACATTTTAATAAAATTTATATTAAATAATTTCAGATTTTTCAATTGATTAAAGGCAATTTATTTAGATACTTGAAATTATTTATAAAAATGAAGATTTATTACTATAACTAATAGCAAAAATCAGTTTTTTTTAAATTTTTTCAATAGATACATAATTGCTAAGTAAAGAATAAAACAAAATTTGATTATTATTGTTTTTAAACAAATAAAGATTTTTTCAAATATTTTGGAATATAAAAACATAATTGCTTAAAATCTTAAAAAAAGAAGAGAAGGACTTATAAGAAATTTGATTAAAAAATTGATTGTATTAGATAAAGTCAAGATTTAAACTTATGAAAACTAGCTTCTTTTCTAATTATTTTAGAATATCTAGGAGATAGTAAGATTGTATTGCATGTTGGAATATTTTATTCACTAGAGGGTTCTGTTTTTAAATATTTAGTAGATCCAAAATTTATACTATTTTCTTCATTCTTTTAAACTAAGATTCTTTGTTTTAATGAATTTGCAAAGTATTTCATTGAAAAACTTTGATTAGTATTTAATTAAGGTTTATTTTGTTGGTTAGGTGTAACAGCATTATAATATTTAAGATTAGTTTTATCTTTATAATCTATTGTTAATTATAATTTTTTTTTAGGAGATTATTTAGGAACAATAGGTAATTTATCTTCAACATTTTAAATAACTTTATATCTATCACTTGATATCTTAATATATGATTGATCTTTAAAACCATTAAACAGAGTAACATTAGATTAAGTTCTAATAGTCCGATTAGTAAGTTTAATTTAGGGAATACTTTAATTTTATTTTAATGAGTATTTTTCATTTAAATAATTTTAATACCAATTCATACCTAATGTATGTTTGATAATTTCATTAAATTAACTCTGCCAAATTCTAAAGATTTTAGCTTAATTTTGAACAATTCCTTGAGTGCATCTTAGTAAAGGAAATTGTTATTTAAAATTTAAAAACTATTCGAAATCTCCAATAATTTATCCTCTACCAAAAACACCTAAATTAACTAAGACTTTGCTTGATTTGCTTAACATATTAGTATCTAGATTATTTTATTCTTCAATTTCATCTTTATTTTTAACTGTTTCCCATTTTTACACTAAGACTTCACCTGAAATAATCAAATATAGACAATCAGCTTTTTACATTCTTTTAAATAACATAGCTCCACCATTTAAATTAATTTCTTCATAATCATGTAGTAATTATTATAATGATGTTTCATTTAATTAATCAAAAGGATAGATTTAAGCAATAAGTTCTGATCTTATAATAATAGCTTCTTAAGTAATATCTCTTAAAAGTTTTTAATAGGATTCATAAGTTAAGACAGCCAGAATTGAAGTTTATTTTGCAATGACTGTAGCTGTTCTAGGTATTCGCTACTCAATTGCTATTTCTCCAAAATAATCAAACTACTTTTTAATAGCCACTTATCTGAAAATAGGATAACGATTAACCAATACATCTTCAAATGTTTTCAATTTATCTATATATAAATCATTCTTCTTACTCTTTTTCTAGGGAATAACAGTCTCTATAGAATCCTGATTCTTAACAAGAATTGATACTTCACCTTCTAAAATGAAATACATTTTGCGTCCAGTTTCTCCTTAATTAAACACTACCTCATATTATTTGAATCTCTCTATAAATAATGACTTTATTAATTTAAGGAGAATGTCATCTCTCAATTAAGATTTTAATTTTCTATCATCATTACTATCTATACTTAAAATATGTAAATGATCGTTCCAATCTTCTTGCTACATAATTTAATTGCATTAAAGTTCTCTCTTATGATTCCATACTTAATATCTGTGTTAATTTCTAAACCTCATATTCTATCTTTTATTAGTTCTCATCTTCCAGAGATTATTTGCTTAATGTGCTATCTCTTCTTAACATTAATTTAATTAAGAATGTCAAATGTATAAAATAGATAGAATGCAAAAGCATTCAATCATTTGTTAAACTCTAAAGCCTCTCTATTTAGATTATCAAAAATCCTCTCTAACGATAATTATTTTAGAAAATAACAAAATTTCAAACCTCTGAGAACCGAAAAATCAAGTACTTTATCTCTTGTAAAAAGCGATAGTCAAATAGTTTAAGACAATAAAAACTTTTTTAAGACTTCAACAAGTTTAAGTAAATTGAATAACATTGTTAATTTTCAAAAGAGAGCCAATGATAAAACACATAAAGAAGTTATAAAGCATCTTATAACTGATCAATCTTACTAAAACCTCAATAAAATTAGCTTAGAAGGTAATCGTGTTAGGACTCTACATGCTGTAAAATCAGAAATTTAGAATTTTGCTGATTAAAAATAACAAATGAAAGATCTACGAGATAAAATTAAACTTAAATTATAAGAAAGAGATTAAGAATATTTATTAAAGAATGCATAACAACTTAATAATTTATAGCTCAAGTTATCCAATCTACAATCTTCTTAATTATTTAAAAACTTTCTTGTAAAAAATGGATATAGATAACCTGCATTCTTAAGAGATTTTCCATGATATTTTGGTATTAAGATAACAAGCTTTGATTACAATATAATTTTCATATGATTTATAATAATATCTATAAATAAATTACTTCAACAGAATATCAGAATGTATTCATTATGTATAATCAGTAATGTAATTTTCTATAAAACTTTTTTGAATTATTATAATTAACTTGAACTTTTGAAAAATGAGGATTTGTTTCATTCATTTAAGAATTTATGAAATCTAAGAAAATAATCTTTAACATGTTTTAATAAAATAGTTATTAATTATTTATTTATAGCTAAAAATATAAATAATGCAATAAAACATCGTTAATTGCACAGTCTCTGGACATGAAAATCAATAAATTTCATCTCTTTGTTTAAATCTTAAATGTACTTTTAGAACTGCCTCTTGTTAATTATGTAAATAAGAACAACATAAGGACCATGAATAGGATATTAAAGAACTTAATCTAATTGAATAATAAATAACTTTGATTGAAGCCTCTTAATAAAATATGATCTCAATTCTAAGAAGAATGGAATATGAGATTTAAGCAGCAATTAAGTATATTAATTATTCTGTTGAAACATTAATTGCTCCAATTGAAAATTATAGAAAATCTGTTAGTTATCAAACTATTGAAGATCTAGGTTATTTCTTTAAAAAGATTCACACTTTTGATTATCCTGTAAAATATTGCTTTTAAAGTAGGAATAAGTGAAAAAATTATCATAAATTCTGAATTCTCTTTACAAACTAAATTCTTCAGAAGAACATAACACAATTTAAACAATTTCAATAATATAATCCACCTAATAAAATGAATCGAAACAATATTTTGATTAAGGTTTAATTGAAAATTTTAAATTTAGGTTTTGAGCTATGTACTAAAGGTTAATTTGAAGAGGCTATAAAAGTATTAGATAAATCACTTGAGATATGTTCTACCAATATTGAAGCAATATTTTATAAGGCTGAAGCATTAAGAAATCTTGGAGCTTATGAAAAATCTATTGCAGAATATAATAGATGTATGAAATTTGATTCTGAAGAAAAACTTGAGTATAATTTTGGAAAAGGTTATACATTTTAATTTTATCTTATTAGGTGAAGCATTAAGAGCTTTAGAAAGATATGATGAAGCTTTAATCCTATTTGAAAAGGCATTAAAAGTTAATATTAAACATTTTAATTCCCTCTTTGGAAAAGCAGATTGTTTAAGAATGTTAGGAATGTTGGAAGAATCATTAAAATATTATAATTTTGCTTTGAAAGAAAATTAAAAAGATTTTACATGTTTGAAATTTAAAGCAGTTATTATGGAAGAAATAGGTTTAGAAGATTTCTTATAATGTTATAAAATTGCTGCATAAATTGATCCAAATGATGAGTACATTTAAACAAAAATAAATTTATATTCATAATGACATTAATTTTATTATTATTAATCTTATAAATTTAGTATTGTAATTATTATCAATTAAACGATTTTCATAAAATGCAATATTAACTCTTAATTAATTTACATAATTATGAGAAATAGAAAAGCCATCAATGATATTTCTAAAGAAAACCAATCTCAGTCACATAAATCTGTTTAAAATTGGTTGGAACATGCTTATTAATAAAATGCTTTAAAATTAAAAAAGTTTTAATCATAAGATTTTTCTAAAATCAATTCATAAAATGAAGAAATTGATCCTAACAATTGTTCAAAATTGTAACAATCTAAACGAATCATAACAGATTAATATTAAGAATAATAAAGCAATCCAATAAGCAATTAAATATAAGATTAAGATTCTATTTATAAAAATTCTGATTAATTATCAGATTTTGGAGATAAGAATGAATAAAAATCTGAAGTTTAATACAATAATGAAAAAATAAAAGAAAAAATACATAGAAAAAAAATGAAATAAGATTAAGTTATAATAGAATAGAATGATAATATTTTAAGTTTAGAAAAAAATAAGGTTTAAGAAGATTTAAATAAGTATATACAGATAGAAAAAGACATAATTCAGTATTTGGTTAAGGTTCACAATAAAGTTGAGGAACTGACAAAATAATTTTAAAGCTTTAAATGAAATTTAATGTATTTATAATGAGATAAAATTTGAAATGATAATATATTGATCATTAATATTTACAGGATTATCACATTTAACACTAAATGATCAAGACCATTAAGATAAAAAATGATAAATGCAGCCCATAATTTGAAATTTTTGAAGTGATCAAAGCATAATAGTTGACAGTTGAGAAACTTTAGATTATCA